GGGCGTCTTAGAATAGCTCTGAGCGCCGGGAAAAATAAATACATCCGAGGGGAGAGGGGCTGGCGAGCGCCTGCCCACCCCCCGCAATTGCCCGGCGGGGTCTCCCGTCCCCAGCAAGAGCCCGGGCGCGATGCCCGAGGATCCCTGCAGCCCCTCTCCCAGCATCTCCCCATGCCCACGGCTCTCCCAGCCCGCTGCCCTGTGGACGCTTGCAAACATCCTCATCACCATGCAGCCCCGGGTGCAAAAAAAAGCAAGAATCAGGAAGAAAAGTTCTCCTTTTTCTCCTTCCAACTTCTCCTTTTTGGGCAACTCTGTTAGCGAAGCCGGGGCGAAGGGGACGGCCGCGGTCGGGGCTCATCTGCCAGCGCGTCTGTCCCCGCGCTCCCCCGGGCCCCCGCGCCGGCTGCCGCCTCATCCCGGCAGTGGGAACGCGGCGCAGGCCCCGGCGCTGCCCGGCCACGGGGGACGGGAACATATTGAGCAGCTCCAGTGAGCAATGAATTACTCGCCCCCATGGCCGAGGGGCTGTGATGGGGAGGCAACGTGTTCTCACCGCCGGCCACGGTGGGAACGCTTGGTCCTGGCTGTTCAATGCACAGCTTTTAATTAAATAATGTGAGAATGCCCATGAAGAAGCAGTTCTTTGCATTTTTTTTCTTGCTTTTTTGTTGGGGTTTTTTTTTTTTCAGGCAAGGAGTGTCAGCACAGTCTGCCCTCTAACACTGTTTTCCCAGAAAAGCTGTAATTAGAAAGGGATAATGAGGCTTGAAAATGAAAAATTGGCCCCATTTGGGGTGACTTTCTGTTTGTGCTTCTTGCTTTGTCCCTCCCACCTTCTCTTTTTTTTTTTTTTCTTTTTTTTTTTTTTAATTCATTTTATCTGAAGGCCACTTCCCCTCCTCTCTCACTGCCCCATTTCATCCATACCGCAACCACCCAGTGAAAACACGATACTCCGGGAGACTTTCACAAAATGATGGGCTCTGCGGCAGGATATGACTGTTTTCCTTTCTGCAGCGCTAAGGGGGATTTTCTGTAACTCAGAGCTCAAACTCTGCCCCTGCGCTGCTAGAAATGCCAGAAATGTCAGTGGACAGAGAGCCTCTCACTGCACTTGCTGCAGGTTTTTGAGGAAATGTCGCTTTGCCAGAAAATTTCCCACAGGGTGAGAGAGGCCAAAATCTCCGTCACCTTTAAGAGCAGCATGTGGAACTGCTTGGGTTCATCCAGCATGGAAAGTGGATGAGCCCCAACCCTGCCAGGGTCCCTTCCAGCAGCACAACCCCCACACCAGCAACCTCCATCCCCTTTGCACTGGTCCTTTCTGTGCCCCTGACACTGGGACCTTAAGGTCCTGGTGCTTTCCCCCATGTTTTGTGTAAGATTCTGGAAAAAAAATCAAAATATCTGAATTCACAGACTTCAGATACAGAGACTACTGCAAGCAGCGAAGTTCAAGCAAGAGGCTCATGCAGTTATTGGGGGAGCGCCAGGCATTTTAGCAAACAGGCTTTGGAATCCAGGTGGTGCTTTGCAAGGTCAAACTGCTGTAAAATAAAATAAAATAAAATAAAATAAAATAAAATAAAATAAAATAAAATAAAATAAAATAAAATAAAATAAAATAAAATAAAATAAAATAAAATAATAAAATAAAATGACTGGGCTGTTCAGCACTGCGCCCAGGCTGGACTATGTCCAGCTCTCTTTTCCTGTCACCAGGGCTGGTAGCTCCAGCTCGGCAGTTTTGCAGCTTGTGACTCTTGTTATTCAAAAATACACATTGGGGGAGTGCTCTTAAACCCTCACCTTGACAGTTTTGCTTGGCGGGCCAACCAGCACACTGTTGGCAAAGCCAGTGTGCCCTTCGAGACCGTTTGTGCACAAGGAGGACCCGTGTGGAGGAGAGGGAGGTGGGCAGGGGAGATAACCTCGGTGCTCCTGCTATCAGCTCATCCCGGGAGGCGGTGGGACGGGAGTGCGGGGCTCCGATAAGCACAGCTGGGCTCCCTCAGAGTGTCCCCACCTTGTACTGGGGACAAATTTTGCCCTGAGACCCTAGATGATGATGATTAGTGCTGAGGTGGGTTTGCTTTTATGGTGGACCAGCTTTCAGGCTTGAAAAATGAGGGTTGCGCTAGAATCCAACCTGTAATCACAGATAAATAAACAGGTAATTAAATATAATTAAAAATAATTAAAAATATATAAATAATAATAAATAAAAGGAGCCTGTAGTGCCATTAGCCCACTCTATGTGTATGACGCGGGCTGTTACCAGTAGGACTGGGATTACACACAACACATTTTCCAAGGAACCTCTAACACTCTCTAGCTAATGTTTCAAGCTCACCAATCTTAAAGGGTATTTGTATAAAGTATATTTATATAAAGTATACTTGTTTAAAGTATATTTGTTGTGATATAGACTTCATTTTTCACCAAGACGTTGCTGCCATTGCCTGCTAAAGGGGGGCTGAGGGCGGCTGGCCCGAACCCCTCTCTCCCCTATGGAGACTGAAGCGCGCAGGAAGCACGCGGGAAGCGCGGCGGCCGGACGGCCCGGGCTGCAGGATTGCTTCACAGCTCTCCTTCCTTCCTGCCCCTCGCACTCGCTTCCTCCCACCCGTTCTCCAAAAGCCAGCGCGAGGCCCGAGCGCCCTGCGCAAACGGGATGCTCGCGCCGAGAGCGCTCAGCCTGCGCCGAGGGCGGGTCTCCTGTCCGCACCAAGGACACCGGCACGGGCGGGACAACCTTCCCCCTGCTCTCCTGGGCGCAATGAACCCCCAAAACACCTGGATAGGGGCCATCCGAGGGCTTCTACCTCCAGAACACGGACATGAGAGACCGAACAGCTGAGCCGTGGGACTGGGGAGTGGAAGAAAGCAAGTGGAGGCTGCTTTGTAAAACTTTATTTAGAAATATCCTCGATATAATCATTATATATATATATATTTATATATACACACACATTACAACAAATGTGTTTTCTAAGTAGCACATCCACAGTGGGTCAAGAATCAGGGTACCAGGTTTTGGTTCCTTCCTTTCTGCAGAAAAAATGCAGAAATCCGAGGGGATGATGGAGGGAGAAAAGGACAGGGCTGGAAAAATTGAGGGGAGAAAAGAAAATGTCAGAAAATAATTCAATCACGCGGTACGACATGGACTGCAAGTGCCGTTTCGCACGGAACCGGGCTGATGTTCCACACACCGAGAAACACAGCAGGCAGGAGGAAAGGTGGACGGAGGGAATGTACCATTCAAATCACAACTAAAGTACAGCTATACCTACCCCGGGGAGGCCTAGGTGTGCTCGGCTGGGAGGCTGCGGGGTGTGTGCGTGTTCGTGTGCGTGTTGGGAAGGTTGTACCATTTTGTTAACTTCTCGGCTACCGAAAAAGAAAAATAAAGGAAAAAATGAGGAATTTCTGAGCATGGGTGATTTTCCCTGCAGGGGTTTCCCCGTATGGTGTTTAACACATAGCAGTCGCTTTATTTGTGTGATGGTGGCTCTCGTCCTCACCAGGAGGGTTGGTGTTTGCAAGGGGACCCTCTCCTGCTGCCCAGGCTCCTGTCTCCCCAGGTCCCTGTGTCCTCCTCTCCTGCGCCTCAGACCCTCAGACCCGGGTGACTGGCCCAAAACATGGTGCCAGTAGCAGCCTCTCCTCTTCCTCAGCATCTTGTTCAGCCCCATCAGGTAAGGACGCCCCCCTCTTATCAAAAGTCTCCATGCAAAGCCAGTCTTGACCTGGCAAGGGTTTTTTTCCTCTTTTTCCCCAACCCTAGGACCAGTGAAGCTTCCTAGATTCCAGTTTCCAAGGATACATGCCAGGATGCTCCTCAGGCAACAGCTTCTGCTCAGTGCACCCTGCCGAGACACACCAGCCTCCCACGTAATATTTCCAAAGAGGGAGAAAGAGCTAAAAACAAGGGGTGGAAATGACCAAAATTCAAAGTGATCCTGGATCTAGATTGCAAATAGCAATGCCTGAATCCTCACATGCATACACGCATGAATCCTCTATATTTCCTTATATCTCAGCATCCAGGAGAAGGAAGTAGTGTGATGGGAAGCATCCTTGCTCTGATCCTCTCAGTATTTTCCCTTACAAGGAACGGGACTTTTTAATTTGTTTGTTTTTTTGTTGTTTTTTTTCTGATGGGCACAGGGGAAGTCCTCAGCTCATGCCGATCAGCATTCTCCTTGCAGCCAGAGGAACAGCACCAAAGTCCAGGGGTCAGGAAACCACCTCCTGCTTTTGAACAGTTTAGTTTCTTAAATGCCTTTTCTGCAAGGGAGCATAGGGTTGAAGGGTTATTCCCTTTTTGTCACCATCAACTTGATCACGGCCACTGATTTTGAAATACCCAAACTCTTGGGAATGGAGGTGCTTTCACCCCGAGATTGCAAGAGGCTGCGGCCTCCTACCAGCCTCAGGCAGACAAGGGTCCTACCCATGCCTTGTTTTGAATCCAGGGCCCAAAATCCAGCCTGTGAGAATTGGCAGAGGTGACTTATCACCATTTCACACAATAAAGCCAAAACCAAAAATAAAATCATACCATTAAAACCCTTTTATAAACCTATATACACACACAGAGCATTGTTACACCATTGATTTCGTCTTTTGTCACTTCTTTAATTAAAAAAAAAAAAAAAAAAAAAAAAGAGCCCCCAGGTCCAAGGGGAAGCTTCGCTAACATTTTTTTTTTCCTTTCAAATTCTGAAATTCATCTTCCTTGAAAGAAGCTCTGACCCTGCAGAAGCCCCAGGGAAGCTCAAGGCTGCAGGCCTTGGGTCTCGCCTGCCGCGCGGTATCGGCACACTGATCGGGACTCGAAGGCAGCGGGCAGCAGAAAACACCTATGTACCTTTTCGTTCAGTGGATACTGCATGACGATATTGAACAGACGCAATCCCAAGTCATAAATATAACACTCCAAACAATCCAGAGTCAGGTTTAAGAAAAAAAAACAAGCACAGAAAAAGAAAAAAAAAAAGTCTTAATCCTTTTAATATTCTTTTTGCTGAGGGCATTTTTCACCTCTTTAGAAAGGTACAGTCAACACGAACACCTTCTGCTCAGTCAAGTTGCATGTACTTCTTTGCCACAGGATGGAGAAATGCTCTTGTCCTGTCAGATCTCAGCAGTCTGCAGTGCCACGTGCCATTGGAAAGCATAGGTGGCCTCAGCTGGCAGTGAAAGAGGAGTGAATGAGTTATATGTCTCAGCTGGGTGACTATTCTGTTTAAAAAGTGACAGTTGTCAAATGGTCTGAAAACTCTCTAAATGCTGGAGAGGTGTCAGCCAGGTTTTGTTCCCCTTCTCAGAGTCATATTATGAGCAATATGTACAATGAAGATGACTTCAATGCTTTTCTTCTTTGTACGATCACGTACCTAAATGTTGAACGTCAATCTGTTTTGGTCTTGTTCTCAGCTAGCTCACTGTCCTCTCAGTCCTGAGGCTGTGAGAACTTGGAGCCCAAGTCCCCAAGGCCTTCCGTAAATGCAGAGTCAGAAATTCCAAGAGTACAAATTCCAGTATCCACATTCTTAGGTCTTCCTTTTCCCCTCGTGCTTCAGGAGCGGCTTGGAAGGTCATCATCGCTGCGCGTTGCCTTCTACAGGAAGAATAGAGTGATGCAGACTTCGTGTGTGCTTTGAATCTAGTGTTTCATGTTCTTCTGTGAAGCTGTCTGGGCTTGCTGCTCCATCTAAAGAACTTCCACAGCTAGAGTTAGGAGACAACATGTCCTGCAGGAGGTCTTCCTGGACCATCCCAGAGTCTTTGTTCACCTTGCCCCTTTGGTTTCCTTCTTCCTCCTGGTCATTGAGCAGCTTGGCCAGGAAGTTGATGTATTTCATAGCCAGGCGTAAAATCTCATTCTTGCTCAGTTTCTTGTCGGGTGGGTGAGTTGGGATGAGCTTGCGAAGCTCTGCAAAGGCTCCATTGACGTTCTGCTGTCTCCACCTCTCCCGGCTATTGGTAAAAATGCGCCGAACCACTTTTGTATGAGGACCTGTAATTGCAACGGAGCAGAATTAGGAGCAGCCCTTTACAGGCCATTTACTACTGCACTAAACAGGTCACAGTTTCACAGTTTAACTGATTTATTTTAGTCACATAATTTATCATCAAACAGTGAAATAGGATTTTATAGCTAACTGGTTGCTAACCTGAAAAGGTGAGATATCTATAGCTTCTGAACAATCAAACACAAGTGAAAAATCTTCTTCTATTTTTATAGGTATCTGTTGAAATGCCTAAATTTAGCTGTCTAAAGAGCAAGATTCACGCTGTAATGCGTGAGCTAGACCATAGGTAAAACCAGATATACCACCATGGCATCTGTTCTCTTTCTGGAGTGTCAGAGTAACTCCTGTTGTCACAACTGAGACGATGTCTAGGAGGGACATCTACCCACAAGCACTATCCTAAGGGCTCAGCAAGGCTGTAAATCACTATCAGGACTGCAGATCCTTAGGTCCATGGAAACCAGTCTGTGTAAGAAGACTCTACCATGAGATATGTTCTTTTTTACTGTGTCCTGTCCACCCTTGCCTCCATGAAGCTCTAAAAGTGGAAGGATGCAGTTATTTTATGAAAATGTCTAAGACCAACCATGACAAAACCCTCTAAGATGGGAAGCATCACATACAACAAAAAAGTATGGAGCAAAGACAATCGAATAACAGTGAGTTACACACCAAAGGATAATCTGGGATATTCCCACTGAAATATTTGTCTAATTAACTATCCTGGTGCAGGTAAGACCCTGACTCTGCTTAGTTATCTATTCTGACAGCTATTCCCTCATCCAGCAACCAAAAGGAGGGGATATGCAGAGATGTCACCATAGCATCTCCAGGAGATGCTTTTCTGCATTGGAAATCTTCCATGTCCTCTCACCCAGTGAAAAAAAAAATCTGGGGGAAGGAAAAAGAAAAAATATAAAAATAAAAGCACAAAGAAATGTAAAATGGAGAGGCCTGAGATCTCCCCAGGTCCCTGCCCTGCAGGACGGGATCTCAGCACACAGGCTGCATCCACCTGACACTAACAGAGGATCCTGCTCATCACTCAGAGGAGAGGAAGAAGCCCAGGAATCTGACAAGGCACAGGAGAAAACATGTCCTTCCTGCCACCAAATGCTGTGGTGAGTTGAACTCTGCATGTAACAGTGAGTACTGCCATAGAATAAAGTGACTGAAAAATAGAAGCTGACAACTTCCCTCTTCCCTCCCTGCTTTCTTAGGGGGTGTTTGAGGGCTTCCAGGGCAGCTGGCACCCAAGTGCTCTGCAAGGGTCTCCCCAGGTGGTCAATAAGGGTCCCGATCAGTCAGGAGACGCCAGAAAAAGCAACTAATCTCATAATTCCCAGATCCAGATCTAGTGCTCTACTGATGCCTACTCTACACCCTCGCACATCCTGCCCTTTGAGGGAACTAACATGCCAGGGCTCAGGGAAAGGGCAAGTTTCTCGCTCTGAACTTGTACAAGTGGCTCTGCCCTGGGACGAGGGTCCCCTGGGCACCAACAGGCACGGGCTGCAGCAGGCAGCCCAGCACCCTTGGAAAACACTCCCACCTGCCGCAAGGATGCAGCGGTTTCACCACCTCCACCCTCCTCCCAGCTAAAATAGAAGTTGCTCTTGAATCTAGAGGGAGATGTATTTCAAGGAAGGAGCAGTTTAAATACCTTTTACCTTTTTTCCCCCCTCTTATTTTTTTTTTTTACTTTTTTTTTTTTTTTTTTGAAGTGCCAGTCTTCCAGGCACAAACTATGCACATTGTTCATCAGAAATAAGTAAAATGCGTTTATTCATAAATTTTGAAATCAGAAGACCAACCTGTCTCTTTTTATCTGTAGGAACCTATAATACAGACATAGGCTTCAATATTACTGAATTTTTTGATTCCTGCATCAAAGCCAGTAACTGAATTAAAATACATCTTTTAGACAGCGATGAGGGTCTGACCAAAATATTTCAAGCAATGGAGAAATTCAAAATGTTTCATAGCTTATCGGTGTTATAACAGAAGACATTTTTTTCCTCTTAATGAAATTTGCTCATAATTAATCCAAGCAATTGGCTGAAAACAAAACAACAACAACAAAAAAGACCAGATTTTGTTCTGGCTGATTGATGCTTTTTTAAATTGTGAAAAAAAAAAAAAAAAAAAAGATCCAGGGAAAGCTGGTAAAAAGGGAAGATTCCAAACTTAAATATTTTTGCAGATCCTTTCCTTTATTGTTGTGACTATTTCTAGTTTGTAAACCTATGCCATGGATCAAACTTTTTTTCCAAAAAAAAAAAAAAGAAAGAAAGAAAGAACAAATCACAGTTGCCCAAACCATCACTCTTTTCCCTACAGTTTTGAGCCTGTTTTGGGGGCTCTTCCTCATTTGTGGAGGAGTTCCAGAGTTTTTCCTGCTTTAGCCCCTTTGCCCAAACGTTCCGGTGCTATTTCTCCTAACGCAGTGAAGCAGGAAGGGCAGGGGAAGCAGCACGCGTGTGAGCAGGGTCCCCAACACAGGGCAGGCATGACCATGCTGGTGACACGCGGGGACATTGCCAGATCCCGCTGAGCTCCTGCTCCTTTCCTAGGCTACCCCAGCTGGCAGAGGCAGCGGGTGGCCCGTGGGGGCACGATGACCCCCACAACACCAAGCCCAGGGAACCCCAAGGTCCTGCAGCAAGGTGTGAGCAGCACCATCCACCCTGCAAAGCTCTCCTGCCTTCCCGCATCTCTGGAGCCCTAAGACACGGAGCAGAGCCACAGGAGGAGGATGAGCTTTCTGCTCGTGGTCAGAGCAACCCGAGTGGCTACCTCAGCATGGGATGCACTTCCCTACCCACTGCTGTTTTTCAAGTGGCATCACCTCTATCCTCTGCCCAAAAACTCTATTCAGTCTTGGGAACTCCTAGGATTCAGGGTCTACAGGATCAAGCCCACTCTACACACCTGATCTGTTCCCTGGCCAGCACATTTCCAGCCATCCGCCTGACAATTTGCTTACAAAGCCCTTATAACCCTTAGCACCTAACTTAACAGGAGGTAAGTCAAAAGCTTTACTCAGCGAATGTGATTTTGTGGACACCGCTGTTCTCTGGTTTCACAGCTTGAACTGTAACCATTAAATACGCGGATCCAGCCCAAGATAAGATGAGCTGATTGCACTACGTGCTGCACTTTCACCCCTGCCCCACGGTCAAAATAGAGTAGAGAGACTGGAGAAAGTGGACGCAGAAAGACTGGTTTATGCGGAAAATGCAACCAGCTCATAATTTCGTTTTATATTATTTACAAAAATACATGGATTTTGAATCGATTTAACTCTGGATTAACTAGGTAGAAGGAAAAAGAGTGGAAAAAAAGAAAAAGGAATTTCAAGCTCTCAGTGCTTGAAATACATCACTTGAAACTGCTAAAGAGAAAATGCTTCGATTATCTAATTCGTACGGGCTGCTAAGGCTGCACATAAACGTGTCGCTCTTCCACGTGCGAAATTGCTCTTGGAAACAGCCCGTTGCACGTGCGGCGCTTCCTCCTGCCCGGAGCCGCCTGCAAACCCAGGCGGGGGCTTATGAGGGCAGCGTGATCCTATTTTGCCTTCCCACTGCCTCCTTCCTATCAAAACCCGCTCGGCCCGCAGACAGGGATCCCGGGGATCCCCATCTCGGGCTCTCCGCTCGGCTCCAGCCTTTGCTCCCCGAGTGCTGGCTCAAACCCGGCCGCCGCACAGGCGGTTTCTGCAGCGCCGGTTAGACCGACACGAGCAAAGGAACCGGCCACAATCCGGGATGGGCCCCGCTGAGCTGAGCACGGGCTTATTCTGCCGCTTCCAGGGAATTTGGAGGCAGTTTGGACCTGCCGGCACAAGGCTGCGGTCCGCGCCGTGGAAATCCCTCGGCTGGGAGGCTTTGCGGCACGATGGCCCGGCTCCAGCCTTCGCACTCCGGCAAAGCTTTAAATTTAGTGGCTCCTTTGGATGTAATCACGAAGTAATTTGCAGAACAGGGAGGTAATTACCCGTACACTGCCCCGCTTGGCTGGGCAGCCCTAACAGGAGCGGGGCGAGCTCCCGTGGAGCCGCAGGGACCCCCGGCTCCCGTTAGGATGTGGGGGCACCGCGCAGCAATTTGTCCCCTTCAACCAACAACCGCCCCGCGCCCCGGAGGCAGCGGCCGCGGGCCGAGAGCTCTCACCGTCCGTGATCTCCATCTCGTACGGGGACGGTCTCCTCTTGACGCGGTTGCCGCCGTACACGGAGAACGAGTCGGGCTCCCCGAAGAAACCGCTGCGGGCGAGAGGCGCAGGGCGGTGAGCGCGGCCCCGACGGCAGCGGCCGCGCACGCGGGGACCGCGGGCCCCTCGCTCCCCCGCGGGCGTGGGCCGTGCCAAAATTATACCGGGATCAAGCTGATCCCGACGAGCATCGCCTTTACTCCCAACCCCTTTCCCTTCCCGCGCTACGTTTCTATAAGGGACCGGGATATAAATGCGGGATATCTGGGGATTATTATTTTTTTTTTCTGCTAGAAAGGACTGCTTCTAGTTGGGATTTAGCGGGTTTTGCTCCCTTTCCTCTTTGGGAAGTCAGCAGCATGCACCCCCGAGCTGCAACACGCAGCGAAAGGGTCCCCCCCGCCACCCCCTGGAGCGGCGGGCGCGGGGCCCGGACCCGGGGACACGGACCTGTTGATGGTGGCGAGCGGCTGGCCCAGGTTGTAGAGCATGGCCCTGCCGGGGGGCTGCAGCGGCAGCGCGGGGGGGCTCAGCTGCACCATGCGCGCCTCGCACGCGGCCTCGGCGGCGCGGCACGGCTCGGCGCCCGGCGCTCTCTGCATCGCCTCCCCCGCCGCCTCGCGCCCTTTTATGTCCAGGGAGCCCCCCCGGCGCACGAGCTCGATGACGGGCACGGCGGCGGCGGGGGGCCCGGGGGAGGGCCGGCCCGCCTCCTTGGCGGCCCCGTTGAGCAGCAGCTGGGGGTCTCCGGGCGCCTCCATCCCCCCGCGGCTGCTCTCCGGCTCGCTCGTGTTTTCCGCTTCCGACTCGTGCCGCCGGGGGGGGCGGGCATCGCGGGGGTCACTGGGGGGCGGCGGCGCGGGCGGCCTGTCCATCGTCCTGCGGAGACAGAGGCAGCGGTGAGGGGCGCCCGGACGAGCGGCCCCCGAGGCGCCCCGGCGGCACGAACCGCCCGCCGAGCCCCGCAACCCCTCCTCACCGCGCAGCGCCCGCGCCCCGCGGAGCCGCGCGTGACGTCATGGCAGGCTCGGGCCCCGCCGAGCTGTGACGTCATGGCAGGCTCGGATCCCGCCGCGTCGTGACGTCGCGGCGCGCCCGCAGCCCTGGTGCCAGCGCGGGGCTGCGCGGGGGGCTCCGCGCCCCGGGACAGGCCGCGCTGCCCGCCTGGAGCCTCCTGCTCTGTCCGCCCCCCAACCGGGAATCGCCGCTCCCCCCCAGAGCCCCCGCGGCCCGGGGCGCCCGCCCGCAGCCCCGTTGGCACCGCCGCTCCGCCTGTCCCTAGCGCTTATTACTGTTATGCTCTTTCCTCCTATTTTTTAACAGCAAAATATACCTCAAGCCGCTTTTTTGGGGGAAGGAGGGGGGGGGGGGAAGGAGGCAGAGAGGGTTAAAATAAGATATAACGAAGCAAATCTCCCCCCGTGCATTACCTAATGCAGGAAGAAGGAAGAGGCCAGGCGCTGCGCGCGGAGCAGCCTCCGTACGCGGCCGCGCAGGATTATTGTCTGCAACGTCCCCCGCTCCCTTCGCAATTACAACGATTGCTATCGGGACAAGGCACCCAGCGCTGAGGGGCGGGAGGGCTATCGCGACCATTTCCACATATTTTCTCCTGTCACTCTCGCCGTGCATTTTGTTTTCTATAAATAACGGACTTCGGGGACTAGAAAGTTGGAATATTTTCGGTCTTATTCCCAGTCTTCCTGATGGTTTGGGTCGGGTAATTTCCCCCTTTCATTTCTGCTGAGCTAATTGAACCCGATCATTAATTGCGAAATTGAGAGAGAAAAACGTTTCTTTTCTTTCTCTCTCTCTCTTTTTTTTTCCCCTTCCCATATCTCTCTATCTCTCTTGGGGAGGAAAAAAATAATCCAAAGCACGGGCTTTCTGCCTCCTCTCCAGCCCCCTTCCCTCCAGCCGTCAAGAAAGAAAATCTAATTGACTATTCCGATATTGTATAGAAAGAGATTACTCACATGTGTCATATTTAAGTAGGGACACCGCAAGTCTCTCCTGTTTCAACAAAAGCGCTCTCAGTGTCAGGCTGAATTTACTCCTCCCACCTCAAGGTACTTACGACTTTACAGAGAGGAAGGACACCCGCATCGGGATAAAACTGCTAAATCCTGGGAGGAAGAGAAGGCGGGCGATGGTGGGGGGAGAGAGAGGAGAGGAGAGGGTGGATCCCCCGGGCCCGGGTTCAGTGGCGAGGGGTGCAGGGGAGACGGGCGGGAGGCTCCGGCCCGACGGCCGCGCGGGGAAACCCGCGTGGGCAGCGCGGCCTCCACGGGGGAGGCTCGGCCGCCCCAGGCCTCTGCGCCGCCTCGCGCGCAATAAAAACAACACCACATCGGGGGAAAATAAAAATAAAAAGCGCCCCGAGCTTTACACCGATTTATTATCATTATTATTTTTAGACATATTCCGTGCTCGGTTGCACTGGGAGGAAATCCCAGCCGCTGCGGCTGGCGATGGGGTTGTTTTCATGCCTTTTCCCCCTCAAAAAAAAAAAAAAGCAGCGGCGTTTCTCCCACACCTGTTTTGCTGGGCTCAAAAATTAAATGTTCAAGGTCGGAGGCGGGGGCCGGTGCCGCCACCCTCCGCGCGGAACCCGCTGCCCGCCCGCGCGGCCCCGGCCCCTTTTTCTCTTTAGCGGATCAACAGGAAGGGAACAGCCTCCCTCCCGCGCCGAACGAAATCACGAAAAGGGTGTTTTTCCTTTTGGTTAAAAAAAAAAAAAAAAAAAAGAAACGAAATAATCCCGACGGTGTTGCCTCTCGTTTTGTAGCTTTTCGTAACGAATAAAATAATATAATGAAACCCAAAGCCGCGGACGTTTTGCATTCATTGGGGGGTTAACGGTGTGGAGAAAATGGGGGCACATTAACTCCCCGGCCCGCTTCTTTCTGCCCTGCAGACTCCTTTTGTTTTCCAGCCGCGGATCGACAGGAGATTCCCATTCCAGAAAAGCGCCTCTCGCTCCGCGCCCTTGGCTGAGAAATCACCCCAAAACGAAGGGCTGGAGGGGAGCGCTCTAAGGGGGGACCCCGCCTGGCAGCGGCAAACGGGTCCGGCCGGGACCCCCGGGAAGGGGGCCCGCGGGGACCACCGGGCCCGCGGCCGGGCCGGACCCCCGCGCTGCTGCCCCGAGGGGAGCCCACCCCCAAGTCCCCAATGGGAAAAGCGTATTTTTTTCCTCCCCGTTAAAAAGAAAAAAAAAATAAAATGGGAAAAAAGGGAAAAAAGAAAAAAACGGCAGAGGAGGCTTCGGAATTCGGATTCCCCCCCTCTTTTTATCTTGCATGGTGCAGCAGACCCCCTGCGCACCCCTTTTTTTGCCCCCCCCAAAACGACCAGCCCCCCTGACCCCCGCCCCGAGCCCTTGCGGGACCAGCTCCCTCTCCACTCACCATTTGCTTTTCATTGGGAAAAGTGAGTGGAGCCATTTTGTGGCCTACGCATCACGGCTATATTTGTAGTAAGTGTTGGGTGGCTTCAGCTGGGTAGGCTCTAATTCCACATCACGTCCAGTTTCCTATTTAGTATGGAGAGCGGAACACTACTGCAATGTGGCCGAGAGAGATAAAACCCCAGCAATGGCCCGCCTGCCCTGATAAGCTTCTAAACCCATTATTTATGAAATGATTCATTATTATTTGGCAATTTTATCGAAGGAAAGCGGAAAATTATTGCAGGGATATGCATAGGAATAACTCCGGAATGCATGCCTTCTAGCTTTTTATGTGTGTGTGCTTAGATGCTCTTAAAAAGACACTGCGAGAGGGGAAAAAAAAAAAAAAGAGTAATAAAAAATTGCACTGTGGCGGCCCGCGTCGGAATAGTGATTCTTTATTTTAGTCCTCTTGGAGGTTATTATGCCCCTGCATTTTTTTTTTTTTTTTTGATTAAATATGGAACACCTACTCCGTTCTTAATTAAATTTAATGAGCCAAAATAAATTGCGGGGGATGCTGAGAGAGAGGGAAGGGGTGTAGGTGGCTTTGGGATGAGAGGAGGTAAATAAAGCACAGTCGAGGGGCAATGTTTTGGGGGAAAGGGGACCCCCCCCCTCCCCTCCCACCGAGGGGCTGGGTGGGCTCTGCTGTCCGCGTGAGACCCTCGGGGGCGACCGACCCCTGGGGGGGGGCGGGAAGGGGGGACACGGTTTTGGGACGCGAGCGGGGGGCGGGCAGAGCCCACGCGGGGCCGGGAGGACACGGGCCCGGCCAAGGCGGTGGGAAGGGGACAAGGAGGCGGCTCCGCAGGGCTCGGGGCTCCGGGGGGCTCCGGCGCCCCGGAAAGGCCAAGCAGCGGAGCAGGGAGAGCGGCGGGGGGGCGAGACGGGGCGGGACCCGGAGGGAAGTAGGGGGCACCGCTTCTTGCAAGGCAGTGGAGCCCCAAATACAATTTTCGATCGCTTGGGGGCACGTTTTCCCCGTGCCCCCCCGTCCACCGCCCGCACCCGGATAGCCAAAAGCCAACGAAGCCACTAACGGAGGCGGCGGGGAGGGCAGCCCGGGGCTGAGCACGTCGAGGGGAGCCCCCCTCGCGGGGGCCTGCGGGGGTCCCGGGGCTGGTGCGGGGGCACCGTGTCGCTGTCCCCCCCCGCAGCCGCCGGGCGGGAGCGCGGGGCGCGCACCTGCCGGGCCCGGGGCGCCGGGGTCGCTATTGTCGCCGGCGCCACCTGCGCGCGCCCCGGCGGCGGGAAATGCCGGAGCTGCTGTTCTTGTTATTCTTCCTTTCCCTCCTTCCCCCGAGCCTCCCGCTCTGGACGCGGCCGTGGGAGCGGTTTCCCGCGGCTCCCCCCGGCCGCCGAGCGCGGCGTGCGGGGCCGCGGCGCCGCGGGCCGGGCCGTGAGCGCCGGTCACGACGCGCTCGAGCCCTCCGTGCCTCGCGCCAGGAAAGCCGCCGCGAGCGGCGCGGCCGCGCCGGGCGGCAGGAAGCGCCGAGGACAGAGCAGCCCGCGCCCCCCGCAGCTCCCCGCGCCCCCCGGCCCGCGGGCGGCCCCGGACCCAGCCCCGGCGCAACAAAGACCCCGGCCCAAGGGACAGGAACAGAAGGGCTGGAAAGAGAAGGGACAAGGAAGCTCCGAGCAGGCCCAAGGCTCCCCAAGCAAGAAGGACAAGGGTTTTCTTCCTCCTCTTACTTTTCTTCTTTTCTCTTTGTGTTTAATTATTTTATTTTTACGGAAACCAAAGCACCCTTTCCCAAACTCTTAAGCAGAGCTGCTTTCTCTGTACTGTGCTCGAGTTTCGCCCCACAACCAGCAAACCTCAAAGCCTGGTTTCAAATCCTCCCCTTCACTGCAAAAGGCAGCATCAAACAGTCGTTACCAATGCAGGCAGCAAAAAGAGTTAAGAAAAAAAAAATATTCAGATCCACATTGGGGTGCAGGACAGGAATAGGGTTGTAGTGGATCTATTTAAAGTCCATGCTGGAATAAATGCTTTAGGGGGAAGAAGAAACGCATACAACCCCCAAACACCGCTCCTGCCCTATCTTCAAGTCTTTGACAGATGCACTATGGAAGGAAAAACAGTTTTAACAAAGTTTCCTCCCCACCATAATTAATGTTTCACTTGCTTGAAGTTGCTCTCTAGGATCACACAATTTGCATAACTTAACATAGCGCCCGCCCCAGCCTGAGCCAGGGGCAAGTTTTAAGGCTTTGGCCTAACTGTTTTTACAGCCCTCAAGTATTTGAAGAAAGTCTTCGAAATATGAACCAATACAACTGTCATCTTCCTGTGTTTCCAGACGTTTTACAATAGGAAACAAAGAACAAACCCCGAAAACAATAGCACAGAGGTATGAATTGCCTCATTCATCGCCCTGGAATGTCCAAAAACATTAACTGTTTTCTGACTACTTCAGCAGAAAGGCTGCCAGAGACTAAGCTCATGCCAGAACCATTAGATTTGGGGACAGAGAAAGGTTTTTTTCTCCCCATTCTCCACCATCCGTGAAAAAGTAGCACCTTTCCTGAAGGGAAACAAATATTCCTAGTGCTGGAACAGGCTGTTGTGAGAGGAAAAGGTTCTGGAGGGTGCCCGAGAGCCAGGATAGAGCCACTGCCTTCCCCATGCTGGAGCAGAGAACAGCTGAGTTCACCCCACTTCTCACTGCACAAAGTTTACCTGGCTGGTGCCTGCTGGAAGAAGAGTCTGGCTTTGTTGCAATAAATTAACTTGGATCCACTTAAAGCATGAATTTGCACTGGAGAGGCCCAAGACTAACATGGGGTGCTTTAGCCTCTAATCTCACCCCTGCAGAAACGGGAAGAGGTGGCACCTTGAGTCATTGTCACCACTAAAATGCAAGCTGTTGTCAAACAAACCAGCTCAAGCAGCCCTGGTGGAGGCCCTGTAGTTCAGGAGAAAACTCAGGGCTCTACTGTCCTTAAATTCCATCTTTCCTAGTAATGAGGAGTAGGAATCGGAATAATTTGTACCTTCCAGTGTCCATTTCTGCTCTCCTGGTAACATGTTACACCCAAGCACCACTTGCTAAGCAAGAGTGGCAGAGGGAGGGCTGCTAAAAGCACCTAAATAGTTGAAACCAGCAGCAGGTGAGGTCAGTTTTCCATTACCAGTAGGGTATGAAGTCTTAACCCTTTCCATTTGGGTATAAACTAGCCTGCAAAACAATCACAAAAATATCCACTATCAAGACTGACTTTTGTTCATTTTTAACAGAATTGGAACATTTAAACAACGCAGAATTTCACAAGTGGATGAATTCAGTATTATAGAATTAGGAAAAAAAAGGTCATTTCAATAACATATTAGAGTTGACAGACTACTTCGTATGTTAATGCAAAATAGGGTAAACCAATTATTTTGCTTACCCTGCCACCCAACAGCAGAATTCTTGAGAAGTTCAGCACTAGGTGACATATTCACTTTTCTAGTTAACCATTGTAAAGACTTGGAAGTAGCAAGTATCTTTAAAAAAGACTACATGAAATAAAATTATTTTTAATGGATTTTTTGCCCTTTATGATCAATATGTACTTTAAAAATAAATAGAAAACATTCATTCAGAAAAGTTGCAAAGGTATAAAAGTGCTAATTTTTCAAATTTCCTTACAAGATTTTTGTGATATATACAGAATCTGTTACTTGGGACATCTCGTCTAAAAACAAAAGAAATTACACAAAATAAGGCCGTGGTTATGATTCCCTTCCCACTCCACACAAATCCCCATACAAACAGCAATCCAGACTGAGCAAACTTCTAGAAATTAGTGCTTTACCTCTGCTACTGCCTGCTCTGCCACACACGGTATCTATGGCTGGCACAGACAAGTAAAAGTCAGTGTTCAATGAAAGTCAACAGAACATGTCACTATCACTGCTAAAAGTACTTTAGGCTACATCTTATGCTCAAGTTATTCCAATATGATCCACCTTCAGAAATGTAAATATGTTTAATTGTAAACAAAAGTGCCCACATATTTCAATGCTGGTCAGCATCAACTAGAGCATTTTAGTGGTAGTTGTCTCAGAACTAGAGAAAAGCTCAGTTTCCAAGTTTTATTTACTATTACCAGTGACCTCTCAAAAAAAAAAAAAACAGCTTAATCCTCGATTTCCTGCAGTTTAAGTAGGAATTCCTCTTACATTTGGAAGAACAGTTACAAGTTTTAAGGGATGGTCAGAACAACTTTGGTAATTGTCTGAGCTGCTTTACATCAAGAATGGTGCCAACAGAATTGATGCTGTCTGAATGGTTCAGTGCTTCAAGGGCTGGTGCAGGCAGTTTCCCAGGGAAAACCTGGATATCTCCTGCATCTTTCCTGCCAGGTTGTTCAGTGAATTCGACTTTCCCAGGTAGCAATTTGCGTTTCAATTTTAAGTCCTTCAAAACCTGAATTGAGTTTTCATTTGATTTTTCTGCTCTGGGAGGCAAAATTTCATTTGTAATATTCCTAAACACAGGGCCGTTCAATTCTGGTGGAGACGCATCATCAGCTGCTTCTCTGCTGTGACTTTTTGGATGAACAGGAAGTTTTTCACCAGTTCTTTTGGAAAGCTCAGTCCAGTAGCTGTAGCCTTCCAGCACACGGGTAATGTTGCTGTCCAATGTGGTTTCACTCCTGACAACACCAGTATCGCTGCCTTGAACCTGAAGTTCCTCTTCATCCTCGCTGCTGTCATTGCCCTGGATCAGCCCATATCGCCTCATGTACTTCTTTGTTGCAAAAGACATATTGTTGGGGGAAATTAAGCTAAGACCCACCATGCTTTTGTCCATATTTGTATGCAAGACATCTTGGAAAGAAAAATCCGCAGGAGGATTCCGGCCTGAGTGACTGAGAGAAAGTCGAGACAGTTGATTTTCACTGAGATACTTGAGTGCTATGGCGTTGGCTTCCATGCTCAGATCCGCAACGTTAGGAGCCAAGCCACACATGCTGACATTGGCAAATGACATATAGTTTAGTCCAGGAACCACCGCGTCAGGATTTATGCGCGCTAAAATGCTGAAATTAAAGCAACAAAAAAGTTAGTTTAGCATTATAGTGAAAGGATTATCTGTTTCACAATCTAATTCATTAATTTCTCCTAGTTCGCTATGGGGATTTCTCCTTCATTGCAAGGGAAGGAGACACTGCTCAGTGCTCAGATCATGAGCACTAAAGCACACTTGGCTAGCAAGTCACACCTATAGTATCCAAACACTATTCTAGGGAACTAATTCTCATTTAATGCCAAACACATTACACATTGGCACATTTAATGCCAAACGCCACATTCTGGCAAGTTTCAGCTTTTTTTTTTTTTTTAAAAGTTCAAGCTGTTGGCATATTCTATTCAGCAAGTGTTAACACTAGATGCCTTTGACTCATTGATATGATATCATCCAGATCAACATTTATATCTAGATAAAAAGATACAAGCCTAGTAACTAAGAGAAATTTATTTTTTTCTCCACTGCATGCTAGCTCCAGACTTTTTAGTTACAGAGAACTCTGGGGAAAAAAAAACTGCTTCCAAAAGCCTGGAAACTTCTAGTTTTTGAAATAAATATTCATACTTACTTGTCACATTCATTTCTTTTATATATTTAGGTACCTAGCTTAAGGCTGGAAGGACAAGCTCTGGCATATTCCAGCCATTTGTTACATGCTCTGCACAACAGTCAGGGAACCCAACTCCTGCTACTCCTACAGCGCTTACGTTTATTTAAACAAATTTCGTTTGTTCAGTTTATAAAAGCAACAGATTTCTCCTATTGATAGCAGAACTCAAACCTTGATTTTTAGTTGGTTCTAAAAATGACTACTCAAAAGGCAGAATTCTACCTGGCACTCTCCACTTTGTGTGTGTTTGCTCTCATGTCACCAGGCGATTCAATTGCCACTCCAAGATTCCGCAATTGCTTGAGCGTAGCGCTGATCACATCCTCTTTATCCACCACCTCCGTGTCAGACTTTGGGTCCTTTTCTTTTGTATCACCAATATTCTGACACCTGGGACCACCATCATGAGCAAACCCTGCTTTCACAGGCAAACGGTCTTGTTCTTCAGAGGACTTCAGGAGGTGGTTTACTTGGCCCTAGAGAAAAGGCAGCGAGAAAAAAGTGCATGTGGAAAAAACATCATGACATGCAGCAGTTAATTATGTTAATCCAGAATCCCGTTTTAGTCTTGCACAACCTCAAATACAGCTAAATAGGTTAAGTGTACTTTGACAGTCAAGTCAAATCTGGATCCTATTCATATATTTATGTAAATTCAAGCACTGTAGTGAAATACTGAAATACCTTGAATTTCAACCTTTCTGTAAAAAATATGTCCTCAATTTGAAAGTATGGCAAACAGCTATACAAAATAAAAGCATCTGACATAAGCACTTCTGGGGTAAAATGTTGGGTACTACCATTTAAAGGTTATTAGTTGGGCAAAATTATCAGATGCTCAGTACTATTTCTAAAGTGCAGAATTATTTGCAAGGCATGCCCGGAGACATGCACATTAACCATTTAAGCCTTAAAAGCCAAAAAAGTAGCTTGAAATACTTTTTTCTGCAGAGCATAACTTACGCATTTGAAAAACTACATGCAGTTTTCAGTCGTGCCAGTTCTGCATTGCAACTGCAGTACTGTCATTGTGACTGTTGCATTTAGCTCAAAATATCACATTTAACTGAATTACCAGTAAGTCCTGGTAAAGCTTCTGATCCTCTGATGGATGCTGGGGCACCAAGGAGACAGCGGGATCCGGGCTTTGCTCACTTGTTACCACCAAGTGGTTGCTCGCTCCCTCTGTTGGCCCTTTGTGTAAAGGCACATTAATGCTCTCTTCTAATGATGAATTCTGGACAAATGCTTGGGGAACATCTGTACTTCTGAAAGAAAATGTTCAAGATATTGCTTCCTGTTTAAGGGAATTAAGTATCACTCTTGGTAAAGTATCTTTTTTATGTAGAGCAGAAGAGGAAAAAAAAGTCTTATGAATAAATTCTAAGATTTCTTGGTTTGTTTTCTACTTGAGACTTTGAAGAAAGAAGATGACTGCAAAAAGGAGCCAAAATGATTTAAGGACTGGAGGAACCACACTGCTGTGTGGAACTGCAGGAATCTGATTTGTTTTTTTTTTTTCAAAATATGGCTTAAAACATAGCTGGCTGCTAGGCATTAGTTAAAACAGACCGAAGCGTAAAAATAGTAAATATACCTGAGTTTTAACAAAGTCTCCTATAATCCTTTTAGCTATCCGGTATATTTATATTATAGGGTATATCCTATTAAGACATGATATTAGACATGTCAAAAATACTAATATATCAAAGAGATCCTGAGGTCACCCTCCTTCTACTGCCAGTCCCTCCTCAAAACACAAGTGTAAGATAATGGAATTTCAGAACCTAACTGATCAGTTGACTGTGTTCAAAGTGATAACACTTAAATTGTGCCATACTAGATAGTCAAAGCAGATTGTCAAGTGATAACCTACTTTTACTGCTGCCCTAGGAATTACGCATCATTCCCTAAAATGCCATCCCTTAAAGAAGTCTGAGTGGTACTCTACATTCTTACTGCAAGATACTCAAAGCCATTTTACACATGCATAAATCCAAGCTGAAAAAGACTCTTAGGATGCCATCTCTTTAAAATGAGATGTTCAAAAGACAGATTTGAATCAGTAACACTTATGGTAGCAATATACGTTTGTAGATAATACGGTAATCAAGGACTATGAATATTTAAGTGAGAGTTTAATCATTAACATCTTTCCCAAGATGATTATTTTAGAACTTTATTTAACTGGAAGGGTATTCTCCCTGCTTTGCCTTTTATATTCACAGAGAACATTAGATCATTAAGCTCCAAATTGTTGAGGTGTTCCCTTATGTAGAAGCAACATCCATACGCAGAAATGAAAATATTTTAAAAAAATAGTTTGATTCAGAGCAGCTGCTGCAACAGTGCTGAAGAATCTGTGTTTCCAAATAAGCAAGAGGATGTTGGCACCTGTATTCAATACAGAAATTCAAAGGGACTAAGTAAGAAATGTGCTGAAGCTCCAGGGATAGATATATAATCCTCAGTCCTCATCTAAAATCATCCTAATTAAAAGGGTTCTGAATACTGACAACAAGAAGTCACTGTAGGAAAACAAATGACTAAAGTAACATCTCCTCTCTCCTCAGGATTTAAGTGAAGAAAAGAAACACTGTCAGCATGGTAAAAGCCTTTAACTTGGAACTGCTGCTCATCAGTGGGCCAGCCAAATGTGCATGACTGAGGCAAACTCTGAAGGCAGCTACGTGCTGGTGAACTGTATAACTGAAGGCATGACTGAAAAAAATTAAGGAAAAGAACACAGTAACTGAAATCAGGTGACCATTCATAATTCATTGAAAAGTAATCACTAAATAAAAGCAATTTAGCTTATAATGAGTATAAGCTATTTCTGGTTACTTACTGGAACATATTCTGATGAGCTCCTTCTTCAATAAGATGAATGCTATCTACAAAACTAGGTATGTCTACAGCCTTTAAAGAAGAAGCAATGCTTGTATTACTTGCATCTTGTTCAGCATTAATTGAAAGATTTATATCTTCCTTAGAAATTTCTTCATCTTCTTTCTTCCCTTGTGGGACAGACTCCTCTTGTTTTTTGGAGGGTGTATTCCAAAATAAGCTAGCACCTAGAAGAGAGTAATTAGTGATTTACCATGTAGGAAAATCATGACTTTTGAGATATTTTGGCTTCTACAAACCTGAGCAATCATTTCCTCACGGCTAGTCTATTTTTCACCATTATAAAAGTGATTTAAGGTTTTAAACAGCCAAGATAATATTTAAATGAATGATAGTTTCTTCAAAAACATGCTCTTAGAAAATAACTAAAGTATTCCATACTGGTATTCAAGATTGATTTAGTTTCAAGTGCAGATTTCTTCCAGAAAAACTATATTTTCCAAAGGGCTAACCCCTATATTAATAGGCAGCCAGTCACAGCTGCATAACTCTAAAATTGAGGAGATTTCAGAAGGCTTCCCTCCAAAACAAACACATCAGTTTATAGAAAACACATAATTAATAGCACATCTAATAGAATATCAGACAGGGTGGAAACTTTGGAAAAAAAGGCTTTTCTCCTTCAAGTAAGTCACAATTTAAAATATCAAACCTTGCTGAATCTTAGGAAAAAACATAGTCTTCCAACAAGTCACTGCTACTGCAGCCCAAAAGCAGCTCCAGCCTCAACTTGCAAATATTAGCTAAAAAAATGGGAGACATTCAGACATTTCGGTTCTTTCAGGCCTCTAGAGGCATGTTTGTGCTTTAAGAGTTTCTGCAAAATGTTTCTTCCACGCATTAAGAGAAACAGCCACGCAGAGCGACGCGCGGGAAGCGAGGCGAGGCTGCTCCTCGGGAGCAGCATTACCTGTGCTCACAGCAATGCTCACACTTTTTCTCATGTGCAGCCCCGGGGAGCACTGAGTTTCCATAGCAACCAATTCCACTCGCTTCTCCTCCGGCTGGGGAGCGCTGCCGGCTGGAGCTGCTGCAGAGGGACCAGCCTGATGAGCCTGAGCTTCCAGTAAGCGTTGGATCTGTAACAGGCAGAACGGGTTAATTTGTACAGGAAAATATAAAGTAGAACAGGCAACACTGATTTAGTAAATCTGCCTCCTCTAGGATGTGGATTCAAATCCAGACTGCATTGCCACAGAAGCCTGAGAGCATTTCAGTTCAGCAGCGCG